TTACTGAAAATAATCTCTTTCGGGTAGGCATCCTGTGTGAACAGTGCAAAACTAGTCCGTGCATTTTAATGGCAAAGTGCTCTATTTCTGCTTATCGGGTCTTTGTAATTATAGTAGGTTGCAGGGCTTTATGAGAAAGGCCAGCTGCACCAGTATTAGGCACTCTCAAAGACAAACTAAAAATCTGAGAAAGGATATTTTTACACAATCAATATATAAATATTGCCTCCATTCTTGAGCTCCAATTTGTAACTGAATGATGATGTTTATCTTAACCTCTACCTAATTAGGTCTCCACAACCCCAGATGGTAGGCTGGAAGCATATCCTTTCCCTATGACAGACAAGGTTGGGATTCACTGCCCCATCCTTAGTTTCTGTACAGGAAGGCCTATTTCATGGGGTCAGCATGGTAGCTCTTGTCTGAGACTAAAGTAAGAAAGGCTTTGCGGTGACAGTGAATTTCTGAGCATCATGGCCCCTAGCCTGGATGTTAGGGGTTGCGATGGCTCTGTAACTGAGGAGCAGGCCCACTGGCTCACAAAGGCTGGAAACAAAACAAATAAAAGGGGGAGGGAGGAATGTGATGGCTACCGGTTAGCTCACAAGGGACAGTGAGTATAGAAGGAAGAGCTTTGTAGAGGAAAGGGGTGTTGGTAGCCATGAATCATTATCATCTAGATGAAACCTTCCACTCCAGAAATCTCTAAATGTCTGCAAGCTGGAAGGGTCGGGTTGGGATAGACTGGGTGTGGTTGCCCTGTTCACATTCTTTTTGCCTACGCATCTGGTGTCAGAAATAGGACCCCGCATTGGATAGACCTCTGTTGTGCTATCCTGTCTTTAGAATAACCATTTTCACATTCCTATACTATGTTCATTCCTCAGCAGTCTCAGGACAGCTGAAGTTCCCAAAATGGCTTAGCTGCTGGTGCTTTCTGCAGTAATGAGTTACCAGGATATGTTTAGACTGTGAAAGCAGCGATAGGCTATGGTATAACGTGAGTCTGTATAATTGCTTGTTATATTAAAATCCACCTGGAAGAGACATCTGGTATCTTATAAAAGCTGTCTTGATGTCCCATGTTATAATTAAGTAAATCTTTGGTACCCTCAAGTTATCTGTTAGGTCATGCTTCTTATCCCCATGCAGCCAGCTTTTCTGCTTGTCTCAACAGTAAACTGCTAACTTGAGGACTAGGAAAGCTTTTTGCAACAAACAGGTTATTCAGCAAATGTTTTCTCCCTCTCCTCTTTATGAATTGCCTGCTAACAACTGATACTGTTAAAGGTAGATGGTAATTAAGGGATCTATCATTCACAAGTAGTTAGATTTTTCAAACATGGACAAATAGTGATCTTTGATAGCTATATTTTTGTATGTGCGCTCACAGTGCAAGAGGAAAGAGGTAGAACTAAGACGGTCATTCCTACTGGCATTTTTATATAAATAAGTGTAGTAGGAAATGGGCAGAATTTTTCAGTCCATTTAGATCTTGGACTTCTTTCTAGATGCTCATTTACAACATACAACTGTGCAGAAATATCTCTGCTTAGTTATTGTGGCTTTGTGCCATTTTCAGACTGTCTCCCGTGGATTCCCATCCCAGGCATTGTGGCACCTGAAAAGGATAGCTGTGTTCCAAGTAGGAGAGCACACACTTCAGTGTCCTGTCTCTTTGTATTATCAGTTAAGTGCTTCTAGGGGGTAGTTCCAAAGGCTCATTGTGCAACACAGCCCCTCTACTGATCATGTAAGGGTCTGCACAAGGGCCATGTAGAGCCAGGCACTTGGAAATATTAGGCATAGAAGTATGTGACATGCTACGCTTGGGATTTCTGTGTGGACATTTGGGTCCTTTCAACTCTCAGAACAATGAGGTATCCTTTGAGCATAGATGGGAAATCATAGACTCATAGAATGGTTTGTGTTGGAAGAGACTTAAAAAAACATCTAGTTCCAAACCCCCTGCCATGGGCAGGGACACCTTCCGCTAGATCAGGTTGCTCAAAGCCCCATCCAACCTGGCCTTGGGGTTGGATGGGGGCTTTGGGGATAGCGCATCCGCAGCTTCTGTGGGCAGCCTGTTCCAGTGTTACCCTCACAGTAAAGAATTTCTTCCTAATACCTAATCTAAATTTGCCCTCTTTTCCATTTAATACCATTACTCCTCCCTTATCCTAGCTCTTCACTCCCTGATAAAGAGTCCCTCCCCATCTTTTCTGTAGACACCCTTTCAGTATTGGAAGGCTGCTATAAGGTCTCCCCAGAGCCTTCTCTTCTCCAGGCTGAACAACCCCAACTCTCTCAGGCTGCCTTCATAGGAGAGGTGCTCCAGCCCTCTAATCATCTTCATGGCCCTCCTCTGGACCTGCTCCAACAGGTCTGTGTCCTTCTTAAGTTGGGGGCCCCAGAGCTGGATGCAGTACTACAGGTAGGGTCTCACGACAGTAGTGTAGAGGGGCAGAATCACCTCCCTCAACCTGCTGGCTTTGATGCAGCTCAGGTTGTGCTTGGCTTTCTGGGCCACAAGTGCACATTGTCAGCTGATGTTGAGCTTTACATCAACCAACACTTACAAGTCCTTCTCAGGGCTGTTCTCAATCCATTCTCTGCCCAGCCTGTATATGTGCTTGGGATTGCCCTGAGCCAGGTGCAGAACCTTGCACTTGGCCTTGTTGAACTTCATGAGGTTTGCACGGGCCCACCTCTCAAGCCTGTCCAGGTCCCTCTGGATGGCATCCCTTCCCTCCAGAGTGTAGACCGCCCTTACACACAGCTTGATGTCGGTGGCAGACTTGCTGAGGGTGCCTTCAGTTTCACCGTCCATGTTGCTGACAAAGATGTTAAACAGTGCCAGTCCCAGTGCCAACCCCGGAGGAATACCACTCGTCACTGGTCTCCACTTGGACATTGAGCCCTTGACTGCCACTCTTTGAGTGCGACCATCCAGCCAATTCCTTGTCCACTGAGTGGTCCATCCATCAAATCTGTGTCTCTCGGATTTAGAGACAAGGATTTCGTGCAGATCAGTGTCAAATGTTTTGCACAGGTCCAGGTAGATGATGTCATTTGCTCTTTCCTTATCCACCAACACTGTAACCCTGTTGTAGAAGGCCACCAAATCTGTCAGACATGATTTGCCTTTAGTAAAGCCATGTTGGCTGTCACCAATCGCCTCCTTATTTTCCATGTGCCTTAGCAGAGTTTCCAGGAGGATCTGCTCCATGATCTTGCTGGGGACAGAGGTGAGCCTGACTGACCTGTAGTTCCCCAGGTCTTCCTTTTTTCCCTTTTAAAAAATGGTGGTTATGTTTCCCCTTTTCCAGTCAGTGGGAACTTCACCAGACTGCCATGACTTCTCAAATATGATGGATAGTGCCCGTGGATGCACCTCATCAGGTCCCATGGATTTGTGCACCTTCAGGTTCAGAAATGAAGAAAAAGGAGTTTGTGTCCTTTTTCATGGTTTGAGTGCTTATCCTTGTGGGACACCTGGATTATCAGCTCTCCTCAGTTGTCCCATTTGAACTTGCTGCTTAAGAGATGCCTCCCTCTTGATGATAAAAGCAAGGTGTTGGCTTTTACTGCCCATGGTTCATTCTGGGTAGTGACAGAATCAGAAATGGAAGAATTGAGGGCTAGCAGAACCCTGTCCCCATAGCCTGATGTTTGCGCTATTATGTCAGGAGAGGAGATTTTCAAGATGTGGCTTTGCACCAAGGGATATCATAGAATCATAGAATGGTTTAGGTTGGAAGGGACTTTGAAGATCATAGAGTTCCAACCCCCCTGCCATAGGCAGGGGCACCTCCCACTAGACCAGGTTGCCCCAGGCCACATCCAGCCTGGCCTTGAACACCTCCACGGATGGGGCCTCAACAACTTCTCTGGGCAACCTGTTCCAGTGCCTTAATGGATATACATCCCTATGTATATATAATGGATATATGTATATATAATATACATCCTTGTGTATATATAACGGATATATATCCTTAGTGGATATCCATCCATTTTGTCTGTGGAAAGGACATACACAGCATGACAGAGAGACGGACAGTGAGAGCAGAATGTAGGACTTCCCACTTCTCTGTAGTTATTTGGCTGAGTGGAATTCTCTGCATCTGATGCCAGCCGGGGTTTAATGGAGGGGAGAATGAACACCATATGTCTTCAAAATACCTTAGTCTGTGATAAGTTAGTGTTAGGTGTTTAGAAATCCTCCCTTCACTACTGCTGTTTCTTGAAGATAAGGAAAGAGTTTGTATTAACATAATTAAACACATGTAATGCCTTACAGTGTATTGCAATGCAAAGGGGAACTATTTTTAAATCGCCTTTCAAAAATAATTCCAGTATTGTTATAACCATGCCCTTGACATGACCATGCACAGAGACAGCTATGGTATAGGTTCTTTGTGCTAAACAGGATGATTTGGGTTTGGAATTATTTTTTTTCTTCCTAACATCCATTGGACTTCCCTATGGGAAATGAAGTAGCCCTATGTATTTATTCCAATAATTTTCAAAGCATTGTTAGAACTAACAAGGCGGTTTTGTGCTTTTACACTCAGCTTTGGATTCCCAGACACTAACATACAGACACATTATTTTATCCATAATCCATGAGAAAACCAATAAGAGAAATGGTGTTTTCTGCAGAGTAGAAGATTTGATTAGCTATGCTGAAGAGTGACAGAGTATACTCTTTTAAAGGTAATTGGCGAACCAATTAAGGCTATCAAGACTTGTATCCAAGTCCCTACATATTTCTAGACTTATGTGGCAATCTACCAGGTCAGAAGTTTTTCAAAAGTCTACAAAAATTTCCACAGGGTACCCGATTTTTTCAGTCTTGGAAGCTCATTTTATATTAATGCTGTTATGATGGGAGTGTATTAACTTAAATCAGAAATCCTTAAAGGCCTCTCTTTCAATGTGTATCATCACCTATTATTTGTAATTATTCCAAAACCATGGATGTGCTTTGTAGAGAGATGGTGGCAAATCCTGTGACCTACACAGGTAAAAGTGCCTCAAATTAGGGAAAACTGGGACCTTGAAGATAACTCCCAGTTTGTCACTACAGGTACACATGTGCAGGCACTGCCACACCACACAGAAGCTACTGCAGATGTAGCAGACAGCTGGTTTTACCCTGGTATGATGCGCTATCTTAAGTATATAGATATGTCAACAAGTTCTTCAAAACAGAGAATTAAATACTTGACTTTTTCTATCCTTCTCCCAACTGCCAACTTCAAAAGGAAGTCAAAACTGGAAACAAGCACCAAAATGAAAGGAAAAGGGAACTCGTCATCCCCCCCTACTTGTAGAAATCTGAAATTGTGTTGAAGCTGTAAGGTAGAGGAAGCTTAGTGTTACTTGTAAGGAGCAAGGACAGAAGGAAAGCTTCTGGGCTTTTTTCCAGAGAGGAGTCAAGTGCTGGGCTGGTGGGCCAAAGAGTTGCAGGTTGAAAACAGAGCCTTTTTCTTCCATGTGGAGAAGGAGCAGCTGGAGGCAGGGCATCATACACGTGTCTGCACCATGTCCTGAGAAGATACTTGTGAAAGAAAACATGCAGCCTTTGCCCTGACTTAAGTGAGGCTTGTGAGGGGAAACTGTGCAGGTCTTAGGGAACTGCCCTCTTGTATGGGTGTATCAGCAGCCACCTTGACAGTGTGCAGTGGCTCAGCTGGGACTGAGGCCCCAAAGAGTTAGAGTTCGTATGGGATGCAAGGGCTGGAGGAGAAAAGGTGAGCATGACTCACCAGTGTTACTGCCCTGTGCACTGGCAGCTTGCAGATCATCAGTGTTAAACTGACCTCCCAAAAGTCATTCTGACATTTCCAAGCAATTTTGTTCTTAAATCCCCGTGGGGAGGGGAAAAATAGGTCTTGAAAAATGCTGATATTGCATTTTTCATAGCTGTATAAGAGGAAGACAAACGATGAAAGACAGTTATCCTTCATGATGCAAAACTCATTTCTACATGGACTCAGCCTGTACTTTCAGGAACTGCCTTAGCTGTACGTGCAGAGGACAAACCCTTCCACCTGCAAGAAGGATATGTAAGGAAACCCTGAAATGTCCTCTTCTTTGTTTCCTCTTTTTTATTTCCATTGAGGAAGGCAATATCAATGCTACAGTTAGTCAATAGGAAACTGTTTTATATTTAACATGAAACTGACCAGGATGAAATCAAATGATGCCACTGATATTAAATTTTGGACCTTTGTAGTTACAGTCCCATAAATTATAATTGGTTATGTTTTCAAAAATGTGGCTACTGACCACATGTATTTTAAACACACCTGATTTTTCCTTCTCCTACAACTCTGTTTCTTTATTCCTCTGTCTCTTCTCTGTAATTGTTATGTGATATTTTTTCTTACCAACAATACTTTTCCAATGTGGAACTCTTCACTATTGTACTTGACAGTTTTAAGAGCAGCAGGAAGAAACTGAATAATTTTAATATATGAAAATATATCTAATTTAATCACTGCCATAAGATTGATGCACAGAGTAACACTGGTATCCAGTTTATGCTGCAGGAGAGAAAAATGATTAGGCAGAAAGAATATTGCAATACTTTGCTGGATGGTGAGGATCAAAACAATATAGGATTTCTTACAGAAAACAATCTGAGTTTCTCTCTGACCAATGTAGCAAAAGCATGTTTCTTTTAAAGATTTGCTATGAGACATGCCAGCCTTCCACCTAATGATACATAATCAGCTTTCTCTGAGGCACTGCTTTCAGGCCAACTTTGTCTTGCTAGGAAGACATGTGTATATTAATATACATTTGCATATATCCTATGACTCAGAGAACAGCTTCTTTTTTTCTGATGCAGTAATTGAACAAATATGTTTTTCATGCATTAAGGTGCATTGTCCAGTACAGTCATACGATGGATGCTGGGAAGACCCACTGTGGCATATGTTTTGTTTCATTCCTGTCACAGAAGATGTAATGCCAGAGTAGAGATCAGGAAAGCTGTTGATTTCACTTGTGTATAGCTCTGACTAACATGTATAGGTAACGCTTTAAACAACTTCCATTTGAAACTGCTTTTACTGTAGATGACCTGCCTAGCACTCACAGTGAGAAGCCAGTAGAAAATATACCTGTGTAAGGGTGATCCTTCACCCCATGTTGCCCTGGGGTTGCCTTTAGTGAAAAGGACACCATGCGCAGCAGCTTTCTACTTGCTTTAAAGAAGCAGCTCTGGTGAGAAGGAGCAACTTCTCTGTAGAAACTACAGGCTGTACTTAATGTAGCAAAACAAAACTGCTCTTATTAGAATTATATTTGCTTTTGCTAAATATTGCCCTGTGAGAGGTAGATGGCCCTGTGATAGGAGCATCTACCTGCGTGGCATACTAGTTATTTGCTACTCCTATTTAATGTCCATGCTGAAGTACAACCATTGTGAAAGTACATGTTTACTGCCAAAATGATTTTTAAAAAAATCAAAAATCAGCTCACTGTGCTGGTAGAAGTTGCTGGCTAGCTACCTTTTCAGAAAGATCTTTTGAAGCTGTAAATTTTTCTCTACAGAAACTTCTAGAGCTGTAGGCAAAACATTTGTTTGCACTTGCTGAGTTAATTGGAAATGAGGGAGGGCAAAGAAGAGAGACTGATTCCAGAAAGCAAGTGAGTTGAGTATTTCTATTCCGACCAATGAGCAGAACCGCAGTGGTAAAACTCTTCAAGCCGTGGCTGCCTCAGTGAATTACAAAGATGAGCTCTGTTCTCTCATGTCCATTCAGAAATATGGAGTAAATGTGAGCTCTTTACTGCACATTGAGAAACAGCAGCACTTGTTCCATCAGCTTAATTTTATATTCTTTACTTTAGTGCCAAATACTGAAACTATGTGCATTTTTCTGTGCACCCAAGTGCTCATGCTTAATTTCAGACAACAGCGTGAAGGGTATCCATCTGCAAATATGATTTGCACATTATAGCGCGTGTATAAAAATGTGCAGGCTTTCCAAATCTGGCTCCAGATGTTTACTGTGCAAGAAAATAGACACGTGCTTGTAAAGTTCATGTCCAAAAAGCTGATTGTGATAATTGGCTAGATATTGCATACATGGAATAAGGCCTTAACCAGCAAAGAACCTGAGTATGTGCTTAGTTTTAAGCAGACACAAAATCTCTCTGACTGCAGTGGGAATGACGTTGTTTAACATTAGTACCATATTAATTACCTTTCTAAGTAATTCACTTATCTGATACATGTGATCATTTTAATATTTAGAAGTATGTTAAAATTCTACTTTATAACAACTTATCTTATTCAGCCTCTAAAAATGAAGTGCCTTTTTAAAATCTCATTTGTTTTCCTAACCTAACTAGTAGAGACCCTTTGAAACAAATAAAGGAAGAATTCAGCTGTTTTGTGCACTACTTAATGCATCAATGAGTAAATTAGAGTGAATGCCACAAGCTAATTTAAGATCTGACTTTATTTGAACTAAAACATCTCAATAAGTTGAGAAAAATCTCAGACTGATCTTTTAATAAAATCACATAAAATTTGATAAATATGGTATTCACTTTTATTTTTGTGTGTTTATTTCTTACGTTTCTGTGGAAAGAGGGTCTTTCCCTCCCAGCGTCCCAGGCAATATTGCTTAGAGTTTACTCAGCAGGACCTGCCACTGATAAAGCATAAATCAGCAGCTGCTAAAGCAAGAAAGAAATGCTAAAGCCAGGCTAGTGATCCCTCAATAGCAACAGTGACGCCAGATGCTGTCTTGGTTTGTTGTATTGGAGATGTATGGTAAGATAAAGAAAATCTCTTTGGACACGGGAGAGAACACTGTGGCCTTTTCCAAAGAGCTGCTGGGCTAATGCCTCTGACTACCAGCATATCAGCAATCATTAAGTTGCCCAGTCCACAACCCATCTCGTAGGGGTTGTTTCTCTCAGCTAAAAAATGCAGCACTCCCTCCTGCAAAGTGGGTGCTGAGAGAGAAGGAGGAGAGTAGAAGCAAATGTGCCCTGATTCAAATCTGTTTATTGACACCATGAAGATTATAGGAGAAAAAAAGAAAGTGTTCCTGTAACCACTTATTTAGAAACTATGATTTTCTTTTTCTCCTTGCGTTGTTGAAGGCAAGTTTGTGATTAACCATGCTTTAAATCACAAATGACTGGCACAAGATTATGCCTACAATTTTAGGTGAAATCAGAGGATGATGTTGTTGATCTGATACTTGTGCTGTGAGGCCAGATATTAAGGCTACTGTGAATCAGAGAAGCATATGAAACCTTCATTTGTGTGGAGTGTTGGAAGCTCCCCATACTGCAAATGAGTCAAATACAGGAGAGGAGATTTAAATGCAGCAAAACTTGTCTTGGTAGGCTGTGTTTAGGTTGAACAGTCAGGTTTAGGCTGGACGTTTTCTGTCCGCTTTCTAGACAGTATTTTTCATTAATTAAAAATTGGCTTTGAAATTGAATATGTACATTCTCCAACAGCTGCATTTTATTAAGAGGCCTTTAATTAGATAGTCCATCTAATGTCTGCACTTCAGGACAGACATTGCTGGCTGGCTGTCACTTCCTCTCTCCCCAGCCCAATTAGTTATGATCTGTTGGAGATGCTGCGGGGATCCTGCTACCTTCTTGTGTTCTGAGGAGCAGTGATTGAGTGAGACAAGGATGGAGGGCTTTGGGGAGGAGTGGGTATTTTATGTTTGTCAGTATTGTCATTATTTTTCTCGAACTAGGGTTGAAATGGAGAAGAAAGGCTGGTGGATTTGAGGATGCAAATATGTAATTGTGTATGTTAAAAGTGGTAGCTGAGTATTTAATAAGAAAATGAATGATATCACTTGCAAAGCTGCTTAACTGAATTGCTGTCCGTTACTTACTTCTCTACCTCCATCCTATTGTTTATACGTCTTTTCCAGCAGCTTCAGGATTTTTCCTTTGTCCCCAGAATTCTCTTCTGGGGCAAATCCTAGCTGCCCACCTCTGAGGCCATCTGCAGATTTCCCTAGGCTGCTATTATATGAATAATCAGCTGTCTCACTTAAGAAATTCTCTTTGTTCTACATCATTAAATGCTGATT